GCAAGAAAGCCCAGCCCTTCCAACCAGCTGTGGGACAAGGAGGAGGCCGTGAGGCTGCTGCTGATGGGGCTCCTCTGCTCTTTCCAGAGCTGCTGCATCTGTGGCCAGAGCGGGGCCACCATCACCTGCTGTGGAACAGACTGTGACCTGAGCTTCCACCTGCCCTGTGCCAAGCAGGGAGGCTGTGTCACCCAGTACATTACACCGTACAGGTACCTCCTGTCCCCTCCTCCCACCACCGGGAAAGGGCCCAGCACTTCTCACCTCACTCACCCCTTTTCCCCCCAGGGCCTTCTGCCCCACACACAGCCCACAGCAGGCAGTGGAGGCGACTCCAGAGCCGGGCACCGAATGCCTCATCTGCATGGAGCCTGTGGAGGACAGAAAGACCTTCAACACCCTGGTGTGCCCAGCCTGCAAAACCGCCTGGTTCCACAGGGACTGCATCCAAGTAGGAGTGGTTCCCTCAGCCCGGGGGGCACAGCAGGGGCTCAGCAGCACCAGGGCCTCACTCTGGCTGCTTGTGTTTCTCCTGCAGGGACAGGCTCTGCATGCTGGTATTTTATCCTTCCAGTGTCCCATCTGCAGAAATAATAACGCATTTCTCACGGACATGTTTATCATGGGGATCCGAATCCCCTTCAGGTTGGTGTCCTTCTGCCTGGCTCCCAACACAGGGGGTACAAGTGCTGTGCTGTGCCAGGGCCTGCCCCAGCAGTCCTGGCCCTGCACTGTTCCGTGAGTCCCGGGTTCAGCTTCCCACAGGAGTTGGAAATGGCACAGGGGGAAGAGCAGGGACAGCCTGCACCTGCCCAGGGCAGGGGGAGCTCATCAGTTTTCCCTTTTCCATCAGAGAGCCATCATGGGAGGAGAATGATGCGTTCGCTGAGCAAGGAGAGATACACAGGCACTGCGATGCCAGTGAGTGCCTTTGTCCAGGAGGCAGGCAGGAGGCAGAGGAACAGGGGTAAGTTGCCAAAGCTGCCTCCCAGGGCTCTGCAGGGCTTGAAGGACCCAGGAGAAGAGCTCAGCCAGATAATCCCACGCTTTGGACACTTTGTCCTCACCTCCATGAACCCGTTTGCTTCCCCAGGCCTTGGGAATTGCTCCTGTGCTCCTCCTGTGGTGCCGAGGGCACCCACAGACACTGCTCTGGCCTGAGGGACAGCACAACCAGCTGGGAATGTGACAACTGTGCTGGGCAGAGCATCCGCAGACACTGCTGTGGCACGACAGCCTGCACCAACAACTGTGACTGTGACAGCTGTGCTGAGTACCTGACATGTAAGAAGCAAAGCACCTGAATGCCCCTGGGTCAGGTGCCCCTGGGCCTGGCAATGGGTGCCCAGGGTGGTCTTGGCAGAGCCTGTCAGCTCCAGGAGGGCTGCGGGCACTGCTCTGGCCTGGCCTGTCTTGGGCCTGGGGCGGTCTTGACCTTCCTGCTTCCCCTTACAGCCTCCGGTGAATTCTCAATCCTTGCCAGACTCATGGAGGAGTCTCCTGCTGTGTCAACAGAACATGAGACCATCACCCCCAGCACCAGCCAACAGGCAGCATCAGAGCAGTCTCTGGAATCTCCCTCAGAGGAGATGAGCAGCCCCAGCCCTTATAGTCAGGTAACATCGAGGCCATCCCACAGCAACATCCCAGAAACTGAGGGCAGCAGCTGCTCTCACAGTCGGGGGCCTGACCGCCGGCAAAACCGCACCCGCCGGCAAAGTCGGCCCCCAAATCCACATCCTCGGTCCAGAAGTCCCCGTGACAGCAGCCATGTGCCGGAACCAACTGCTGCGAGGCGCAGGCCCAGGCAGGGACAATCAGGGACATCCCCCAGGCGAAAACGCTCCCGCCGCCAAAGTCGGCCCCAGAATCCACACCTTCGGTACCCGAGTCCCTGTGACAGGAGATGTTCGCCAGACCTCCGGTCCCCGAGTCCCCAGGACAGGAGCTGTTTACCACCACCACCAAGTCCTCGGAGGCGCAGCCGCAGCGAGGAGGCATCAGAGACATCCCGCAGCCGAAACCGCTCGCGGCAGCAACGTCGGCCCCAAAATCCACACCTTCGCTCCAGAAGTCGACGTCACAGGAGCCGTGTGAGAACACCAAGGGCCGGTAGCTGCCCCTCCACCCAGGAAGCATCAGAGACATCCCGCAGCCGAAACCGCTCCCGCCGGCAACGTCGGTCGCAAAATCCACGCCTTCGGTCCAGAAGTCGCCGTGACAGGTCCCCTGTGCCAGCACCAAGTCCTGAGACCTGCACTCCCAGCCAGCAAGAATCAGGGACATCCCGCAGGCAAAATCGCTCCCGCCGCCAAAGTCGGACCTCAAATCCATCCTACCGGTCCAGAAGTCCCCGTGACAGGAACTGCACGCCAGCACCGAGTGCTGGGAGACGAAACTCAAGGGAGACAACAGCCAGGACCTCCCAAAGGCAAAACAACTCCCACCAGCAGCGTCGGACCTCAAATTCATCCAGCGGACCCAGAAGTGGCCGTGACGGGAGGCGTGATAGAGCCCCCAGTGCTGGGAGCCCCACTCACCGCTCAGACGGTGAGACAGGGACTCCCCACTGATTCTTCCATGTCAGACAGGGAGGAGGAGGCCCCCAAAGGGAGGGAGCCAGGTGAGAGCAAAGTGCCCCTCCCGCAGCCTGGCAGAGGGGCTGTTGGGGTGGCCAGCGTGGGGCTGGGAGAGGTGGCAGGGGGAGGCAGGAGCTGTCCAGCCATCCTGGGGCTGGGACCCTCTTTTCCAAAGCACTCGGGTGCCCCTTGGCCAGGTGCCAGGCTGGGACTGGCAGCGGGTGCCCAGGGTGGGTTTGGCAGAGCCTGTCTGCTCCAGGAGCACTGGCGATACTGCTCTGGCCTATCCTGCCCTGGGCCTGAGGTGGCCTTGACATTCCTGCTTCCCCTTCCAGCCTCCACAGATGACTTGGAGCTTTCTGGCCCCAGCATGGCCTGACTGTCAGGACTGGAGCCTTCTGATGGCTCCTGGGAACCCAAGACCATCAGCCCCAGCACCAGCATCCAGGTGCCATCCCCTGGATTTTCAGCACCAGAGACCAGCAACCACCACACCAACCAACAGGCAACTCAGAGCAGTCTCTGGAATCTCCCTCACAGGAGATGAGCAGCTCCAGCCCTGACAGTCAGGTAACATCAGGGTCACCCCAGAAAAGCTTCACAGAAACTGAGGACAGCAGCTGCTCCAGTGGTCGAGGACCTGACCGCCGGCAAAACCACTCCCACCGGAAACGTCAGACCCCAAATCCATCCAGACGGTCCAGAAGTCCCCATGACAGGAACTGTGCACCAGCACTGACTGCTGCGAGGCAAAATCCAAGGAAGACAGCAGCAAGGTCTTCCCAAAGGCAACACCATTCCCACCACCAGCCTCGGATCCCAAATTCATCCAGCAGATCCAGAAGTTGCTGTGACAGGAGTCATGTTAGAGCACCCAGTGCTGGGAGCTCCACTCACGGGTGGGATGGTGAGACAGAGACCCACCACTGACACGTCCCATGTCAGACAGGGAGGAGGAGGAGGCCCCCGAACGGAGGGAGCCAGGTGAGAGCAAAGTGCCCCTCCCTCAGCCTGGCAGAGGGGCTGTCGGGGCGGGCAGCACAGGGTCCATGCCCATGGCCATTGTCTCTCTCCCCTCCAGCATTGCCTGCTGTGTCAGCCAGCAGAGGCTGACCTGGACACCTGCGGGGAAAAACTCCAGAGAAATGGATTCTGTGCCCACGAGTTCTGCCTGGTGAGTTGCTCTGTGGGCTCCCTCCATTTTTTGACAGGCAGTCCCTGCCACTCTCTCCTCATCAGTGAGTGTCATTTTTCCTGCAGTTTTTTGCCAGCCACCTTCCTCAGCACAATGATGATCAAGTAGGACTCCAGGGCTTTCTCCCAAGGGATATCCAAGATGTATCTCCTGGGCAGCAGAGCAGGTGAGAGCCTGAAAAGAGTAGGGAGATTTGGGCCAGGCAAGAAAGCCCAGCCCTTCCAACCAGCTGTGGGACAAGGAGGAGGC